CGCCAGACGTGCGGCCTCGCCGGGGCGCGGTGCCGCCAGCCCCGGCGTGCGGGATGGCTCCGCCGGTGCGGGCGTGCTGGGTGCGCGGTCACCCTGGGTGCACGGCTCGCCCAGATGTGCTCTCGCCCAGATGTGCACGCTCGCCAGGGCATGCACACCCCCCGGCTACGCCATCACCCAGATGTGCGCCCCCAGCAAGGGATGAACTCCCCCGCCCAGACACACACACTCGCACGGCTGTGCGCTCGCCCAGATGTGCCTGCTCGCCCAGATGTGCGCTCACCCGGCACACTCTCACCCGGGTGTGTGCCCTTGCCCAGCTGTGCCCACCCAGCCCTGCGCTCATCCAGATGTGCGCACTCTCCTCCTGCACCCTTGTCCAGCTGTGTGCTCACCCAGCTGTGCCCCTGCCTGACCGGGGCACCCGGCGGGGTGGGTGCGCGGTGCCCTCCTTCCCGGCGCACACTGGCCGCCGCCTGCCCCGACAGCCGGGGTGTGATCCCCCCTCAGGCAGCGCGATCCTCGCAGTGTTCCTCAGCCTGTTCTTAATTGGCTTCCCCTTCGTCGTGACTGAAGGAGGCAATAATTAATGCCATTGCTCACCAGGTGCTACGGCAGCACCTGTGTCGCAGGGATGGGCCTCCCGGCAGCATGGTGCCCGCCGTGGCTGGCGGTACAGCCGGAGGTTCCTTCCTCTGCCGCGTGGACACCTCTCTGCCCCGTCACTTCGGTGTTCAGGCAGGAAAACGGTTCTGCTCCTTTTATTTTGCTTTTGGGATGGACTCCGGCCAATGGGTGCTGCTGCCTTGGTGCTGCTGCGGCTCTGGAGCCGGCAGTGCCTGGCTCTGCTTGCCCCAGGGCAGCTCTGCACCGTGCCCTGCCTGCATCTGTCCTGTTGGCCCTAGCTAGCCCTGCCCAGCCTCACCCCCTTCCTCCTCCTCCGCAGTTCGATGCCGAATTTCGCCGCTTTGCCATGAAGCGCTCTGGTGCAGGCAGCTTCCAGGACTTCTACCGCCTTCTGCAGACGGTGCACCAGATCCCACGGGTGGACGTGCTCCTGGGCTACACGGATGTCCATGGCGACCTCCTGCCCATCAACAACGATGACAACTACCACAAAGCCCTGTCCTCCGCCAACCCCCTCCTCAGGGTCATCATCCAGAAGAAGGGTAAGTGGGAGCTGGAGAAGGGTGCCGGATCCATCCTCCACATCAAGGGAGATGAGCCACATCCCACAGTATCACTGCTTCCACGTTTGGGCTGTGCCAGTGGCAGTGGCAGCCAGTCACATACCTGTCAGCCACCGCTATGGTGGACGGAACTGGAGATGGCGGCACCAGGAGGCTCCCAGAGCCCCACTGGGGCCGTGGCACCCATACAGGCTCTCCCTGACAGCCCTTCCCCATGGCAAAGGCACCCATGCCAGCCTGGCCCCGTGCATCCCAGCAAGCAAAGGCAAATCCTCCCAATTCACCCCTTTGAAGTTGCATTTTCCAGCCGGGCTTGCGTGGGCTCCCGGAAAACACCGCATTGCTCCCGTGAGTGCCGCGCTGAGAGCCCCATCGGCTCCCTGCCCTGAGGCGGTGGCAGCCATTGTTTTGGCAGAGCTCTCAGGGTACCGGGTGCTGCAGAGTTTTTGGTGGTGGGAGGAGGCTCGTCTCCTCCCCGGCAGCCCAGGGGCTCGCCCTGACCGCAGTGGTGTGTTCCCGGAGAGCAACTTCCTCACGCAGGGGCATGAAATCTCCATGATAGCAGCGTCCCAGTGAGGATGAAAGCCTCTCGGCAACAAACACCTTGGGTAGGTCTCTTCTTCGTCAGGGAGATGAGCCCATCCTGCTCGGTTTAGCAGCACTGAGGCTTTCTCTTTAGTAGCACCATCAAGCAGCAGTGCACAAAGCTGGAGCCCGACCTAAAAGCCCCCGTTTCCCTGTCACGGTGCAACTCCGTGTTTCCAGCTTATGCTATTGGTATAAAGTCCCTGGGCGAGGGGTGATGCCAGTGGCCAGCCCTGGCTGCTATGCCAGTTTTCCTGGGCTCTTGCATCGGGGTGATGCACTGGGCCAATGCCCAGACCCAGGCTGCAGCACGGGGAGCCAGCGTGGGGCTGGTTGTGCCGGGACTGCTGCGGGAGCATTGCTCCTGCTCTCAAGAGCCACCTCATCTGCTGCTGGGAAAAGCTTGCAAGGGCCCATGAGTGACCATGCCGAGCCGGCACAGTACGGAGAGTGGACAGCTGAAGCCCTGGCACCGTGGGCAGCACAATAAGGAGGGCAAGGAGATGGTGCCTGCGAGCCCCAGCACCCAGCTGTGCCCGCAGGAGAGGGGCTGCGGGGCCGGCAGCACCGCGGGAGGTGTGTGGAGAGGCCAGGAGCAAGCCCTGGGTGAGTCACAGCTGATTTAAAATGGATCCAGGTCATCCCGGGGCTGGGCTGTCGTTGAACCAGTCCGGGTCGGTAAGGAATGCGGCTGCAGAGCCTCTCTCGCACGCCGGGCACGGGGAGCCATGCACACGCATGTGTACGTAGGTGTGCACCCAATGGTGGGCTCCGTGGCAGCCAGTCCTGCCGCAGGGGGTCAAAAAGCAAAGGCTGCAGCTTGGTTCCTCTCTGTGCTGTCACCTCACACGGTGAAGCCGTCCCTGCAGAGCAGCCTGGCTGGGGACGGCAGCGCTGGCCTTCCATGGCTGGGCTTGGCTCACGGGAAGGGCAGGGGAAAGGCCAGCACATTGCCAGGGACACCGGCGGGCTTGTCCATGGGGTGCTGGACCTGCCTGGCCCAGCTGCTCCGTGCCCCTTGGAGAGGAGCTGTGCACTGAAATAGCTGTGGGAAAGCCTCCACCGCCCTTCCCCGAGCTAAAAATATGCCAGGCTGTGTGTGCAGGGAGATATTTATAACCTAGGAGCCCTGGCAGGCTGGCTTGGCTGGGGAGAAACCCCACGTCCCCTGGGCTTGGGGGCATCCCCAGCTCCCCTGCGGCTGGAGCAGGGTCCGGGTGCTGGCTGGGGGCACCGTGGGGAACGTGCCGGCAATGCAGTGGCCAGGATCTCACCCCTCGGCCCCTGGTGGAAAGGGATGGGGAGAAACCAGAGAGGGCCCAGGGGATGCTCCCCAGCACGTGGTGAATGCGGCCAAGGAGGGGACGTGGCAGAGCTGGGCCCCACGGAGCAGCCCTGGGGCAGGGTCAAGGAGGATGGGGTCAAACCCTCTGTGGTGGCACCAGATGGTGGAATAAGAGACAGCAGCACAAATCACAGTTGGGGATGTTCAGGGGCCCTGGGGACGCTACAGCCCTGGGATGGGTCTCCAGGAGGTGGGGAGTCTCCATCCTTGGGGATGGCAGGGCTCCACAGGACACAGCTGCAGCCATCCCCATCCCATGCCAGCGATGGCCCTGGCCCAGTGGGGACAAGAGACTCTGGTGCTGTCTCATGGAGCCGGACTTGCCCTCAGGAAGCTGGCTGCTGCCACAGCACCCCCTCATGCAGCGGGGGAACCTCATGTGGGGGGGAGTTCCCCCTCCCCAAACTGGGGCACAGCCGCAGCTCCCAGGCCCTCAGGGCTGGCAGCTCTAGTGTTAAGCTGCAGAGTTTGGCTTAAAGTGTGATTAAGGCTGAATCACTGCCTCGATCCCACTAATCCTGGCCTTGTGTACACTGGGTAATCCCAGGAGATGGGCCTGGCGGAGACAGGCTGCAGGAAAAGCCGGGGTGATGCTCCGGGGAGGAGAGCCAGTGAGACCTGTGAGCAGGGCACTTCTCCCGCCGGCTCCCCTAACACCTGGGAGCCAAGGGCACACTGTTGCATCACTGGGCAGCTGCGGTGCCTGACCTGTGTTCTCCCTTGCTCCCTACAGCAGAGTCTGATGCCGGTGTCTTCGCCTCAAACTCCTTGCAGCGGAAGAAGAAGGGGCTGCTGCGCCCCGCGCACTACCGTGCCAAGCCTCACCTCCTCATCGGCATGCCCCAGGACTTCCGCCAGATCTCCTCCATCATTGACGTGGACATCCTGCCCGAGACCCACCGCCGTGTGCGGCTCCACAAGCACGGCTCTGACAAGCCGCTGGGCTTCTACATCCGCGATGGCGTCAGTGTGCGCGTGGCCCCGCAGGGGGTCGAGAAGGTGCCCGGCATCTTCATCTCCCGCCTGGTGAAGGGCGGCTTGGCCGAGAGCACGGGTCTGCTGGCGGTGAGCGACGAGATCCTGGAGGTCAACGGCATTGACGTGGCCGGCAAGTCCCTGGACCAGGTGACAGACATGATGGTGGCCAATAGCCACAACCTCATCATCACCGTCAAGCCGGCCAACCAGCGCAACAACGTCATCCGCAGCAGCAAGGCCTCGGGCAGCTCGGGCATGTCTACGGACAGCACCCCCAGCCAGCAGACCCCCAGCCCAGCCTCACAGTACCTGAGCAACTACAGCACGGCCGAGAGTGACGAGGAGGGTGACCTGGTCATCGAGAGCGACAGCGCACCCCACTACATCCCTGGGGGCTGCCCCAACGGGGGCCCCGCGGATGAACCCCTCCAGCGGAGCCTGTCCCCGCACAGCTCGCGGGGCTCCCTGCAGTCCCTCTGCAGCCACGACGGCAGCCCTGGCCGGGGCAGTGGGCGGGAGGACGGCACCCTCCTCACCCTATAGCCACAGGGTCCCGTGCCACCCTTGGCGGCCAGCCGGGTTTCCGCGCAGCCAGGCTGGTCATGGGCACCGGGGCAATGACAGGGCCGGTGGGCAGGGGTGGAGCGGGGCTGCCCGCTGCCTTCTCCCGCCACCTGCATCCCCGGGAGCCCCGCTGCGGCACCGGCTCCCGCCAGGCACTGCCCCTCTGAGCCCCCTTGTCTCCCTCCCCTTCCTTCCAAACAAGTGGGTTTTTTTAATTTGTTTTATCAAAATATGCATCATCAATTAATATATTGCAACGGACAGTAAAACCTTTTCTAGAAAGCACCCTGCTTGTCCCTGCTTCACGTCACTGCAGGGACTGGACCCCAACAGCCGTGGGGAACAGCCCCCTCCAGGACAGCAAACAGCCCCAGTGCCGCAGGACAGGACAGGCACATCCCCCACCAGCCCCACTGCCCTGTCCCACACACCGTGGCCTATCCTGCCACGGATGTATGCGCTCCAGATCCCCTGGGAGGAGGGGGACGGGATGGGGACCCCGGCCCTGCGTGCACAAGGCAGTGCCTGGGAGCGGCACCCTTGACTGTGGTGCACGTCGTGGCTTCGCTGCTGCACTGGGCAACCCCATCGAGAGCCATTGCAGGGAGGAACAGGGAGTTTGGAGGGACACTGGGGCATGTCCCTCCCCCTGCATGTCCCTGTCCCACACCATGTGTCCAGGCTGTTTTGGGCAGTGAGCCTGGCATGGTGGCCTGATGCAATGAGCCTTGCCTGGCCCCCCGCCCGGTTCCCACCTTATCTCTGCTGCAGTGCCCTCGCTACACAGGGGACACCCCGGTGACACCTGCAGGGAGCTGGGTGGCACCTGGGCTGGCAGCAGCACCCTGGCTGTCATTCAGCCCCAGTAAACGCTGCTGGGGCTGGAGCAACTCCATCCTTCTCCAGCTTGGGGCTGGCCCAAGCTCGGGGGGGCATACCCACCCTTCCTGCTCACCTGGGGCTCCTGGCGCCCTCAGTCCCTCTCCCAGCACTGAAGTGCCGGGCTGACAGTGGCTTTGGCCTTCGCTTTGCTGCTGGCCTGGCCCAGCTCCAGACCAGTATCTTCCTGCCCATAGGGAGGGACAGAGCAACACCCCAGCAGGAAGGTGCTGCTGGGCCCCATTGGACCCACAGTGGTAACAGCTTCTCCTCCTCCTGTGCTGTCCTGGCTAGGAACAGGCCTGGCCAGATCACGGCTGGCCATCCCCACAGTTCTTTGCCCCCTCTCACCACATCTCCTGCAGCATCAACCTTCAGCGCCAGCACCAACACCTCTGCCCCAACCTGCCGTGGCCACTGGCGACATTTGCTGGTGAAGCAGCCCAGGCACAAGGTCCGGCAGGTAGAGCGCACCTGAGGGCAGTGCTTTTCCAGCCTGTTCGCCTGAGCTGGACACAGGTGCTCAGGAACCAAGGGCACCGGCACAGTGCCAGACCCTTCATGGCATAAGGGCTCTCCCACGGCCCTCGGATTAAACCCCATGGGAAGCGAGCGCAGATGGTGCCAGGTGCCCTGGCTTGGCTCCCATGGGGCAATGCTGGTTTAGTGCCGAGGGCTTGACTGCGCCGGCTCTACCAGCCTGTTTGCCAAGGGTCCTACAAACCCAGGGTCCTCTCATCGGCACTGCTCTCAAGGGCACGGGGTGGGACTGGGTGAGGAGGAGGAGGAGGACCCACAGCTCTCAGGGTCTGAAGGGATGGCACCAACTGTTCAGGTTTTGACTGTCCGTCTGGAGCCGCAGCCCTGCCGGGGCAGGCAGGGAGAACAGCAAGGACTGAGGCTGGCAGCTCCGAGGCTCCCAAGCGGGGTGACACTGACGGTACACAGCCACGGCCCAGACAGGCGAGAGAGCAAAACAGACAGCAGGGCTGGTTATTCCAGACTTGTTTAGGGCAGGGAGGTGCACGGGGACTGGTGCCTGCGGCCCCCAGCTGCTCTCAGAGCCGCTCTCATCCAGCCAGCTCAGCCTGTTTGCCCTGAAGGCAGCGCAGGGAAGCGTGGGGTGATTTTTCCAGTTGGCATCTCACCTCCTCCAGCCCTCAAGTGCTAAAAGCTTCCCCGGCCCTCGGCAGCAGCATCGGCCCCTGACGTCCCAGGGCACTGCAGGTGCCGCGGGCAGGGCTGGACCACTCTGCAACATCCCCACCCTGCAAAATCCTGCCCGGGATGGAGTAACCCCCGGCAAGAAGGCACCTGCTTGGGGCAACCATGCACAGCATCCCCACCCTGCACAGTGACAGGAGACGAGGCAACAGGCACAAGCTGCAATAAGGGAAATTTTGATGGGACTTCAGGAGAAAAAGTACTCCCCCTGAGGGTGGCACAGCCCGGGGAGAGAGCCCCAGCAAGGGAGGGTGGCAACCCCATCCTTGGAGATTCTCTTAACCCAGCTGGACAAGGTCCCAAGCTGTGGAGCTGGCCCTGCACTGAGCAGGAGATGGACCAAGCACACCAGTGATCCCTTCTAGCTTATATCTTTCTACGCTTCATGCAGCAGGATCCCTGCAAAGGTCTGCACAGGTCCCCATGTGGCATCTGAAGGTAAGGAGGCAGCGAGCTTGTTCTGCCAGCCTGTGGACCGAGATCTGGCAGGACTTTGCACATTCTCCACTCCGAGTCCACCACCAACATCCCAGCAGCCCAGCCCAGCGAAACCTAACCTCCCTGGACACTTTGGGCTTCTGCAGGAAGTGGGACCAGGACCCACGGCTCTCCCCCTGCCTGTACTACATCAATGCTGCTGATTTCCGCTGCCCACTACTCCTCAGGCCCTGCTGAGCCCACTGGGAGCTGTACACACACCGAAAGAGGGAAACAGTGCTTTACTGGAGCATGTCCTGCCCCACAGACAACAAAGGCTTCTCCAGACACCCTGCCAGATCCCCCTGCATCCGGCCCAGCTCTTCCATGGGCAGAAGAACTGAAGCTCTGCACCTCTTTATTGTCCTCAAGCTGTCCCTGAGCTGCTGAGCCCAGCCAGCAGGTTGGAGGGTGCAGAGGTACCAGCTGCGTGAGCAGGATGCATCAGTGCTCAGGACTGGGGCACACATGGCAGATGTACAGCACGAGGGTTTTGTGCAGACACGAATGTGTCCAGAATGAGACATGATCATGGCCCAGCTCAGGAGAAAGAAGGGGACAAGGAACACCACAGGCAGCAGCACAGGAGACCTCCTACCAGTTTCTAGAAGTGGGAAAAAAATGGGAAAATAAGAGGTGATGCCATGGATCCAGAGCAGAGAGCTGATCTCTGAGAAGTCAAGCAGCACCAAGACACAGGTTCTTCCAACCACAGAGCAAAGAGTGTATTAGGGTATCTCCCTCCCTTTTCCATGGACAAGACACAGCACTGGACCGTGAGCAAGAGGCACCACCTGCACGTTGGGCATTGTATTGGCACCTGTGTGGGCCCATGGTCCTGAACTTGCCTTCCTCTCCTTCCCTCCCAAAGTGATAATTGTCCCTTCCAGCGATGAAGGATATTCACACAGAGCAGCACAACACACCCAGCCCCACTGGCTCAGGAGTCCAGCTTGATGAAGACTTTGGGCCTTGAGAAAATTTTGATGGCCTCTTCTATCTGGGAGAGCTTCCTTTCCAGCTCTATCCGCCTCTTCTGCATGCTGAGGGTGTCTGCGCGCACTGGTAGCATCACCAGGTCCTTTATCAGCTGCTCCTGGCCTGTGAAAAAACAAAACCCAGAAAAAATCAAGTTGTCTAAGTGGAAGAGCAACGAAATCCATCCTTTGCCTAATGCTATGACCTTATCCTCAGTCATGAAAACGGTGGCAGCACAGGACTTAGAATACCCATCCTTCTATTCAAAGCTCAGCTGGATGAGGGCCTGAGTGACCTGCTCCAGCGTTGAAGAACCAACGGTTGGACTAGAGACCTCTGAAGGTCCCTTCCAACCAAAATCTTTCTATCATTTTAAGAGCAATATTAACCCTAACATCAGGTCTACCAGACAAGCCTGCTACAGAGAGCCAGTCCTGTAATGTGCAGGTCCCACCAACCTGAAGGAGATTGCTCTTTCCATGCACACAGCTCACATCCCAGCTATGTGCCTTATTCCAGGCAACTCTCCAAGCGGCAGGAATCTGTGCCCCAGAACTCTCTTCTCCCTAATCCTGGCTAGGATTGCCTGTTTTTCTGAGGTAGAATCCCCATTTCTTTTTCTCTTACTCTGCTTCAGATTGCTGAGGGTCTCCAGCCGCTGGCCCTCCGGCATCATGGTATGACCAGGTGGCGTGTCAGGATCTGGCAGGTTTCGCAGCCGCTCCTCCATCTGTCTGCGCCACAGCTCCTTCCTCTCCAGCAGGCTGGCAAGGCAAACAAAAGCCCGTGTCAGCACATCTGGCAGGAGAGGTCACCCAGGGATGCAGGCAGAGGCAGGAATCGAGCCCTTCCAACCCCACTAGTCTCCACATCACTGCCTGAGGACCACAGAGACCCACCCTGCTGGCACATGCCATTGCCATGGAGGGATACACCCGGGTTTAGCCCGCATGCATGGACTAGCAAACACACTCCACATGCACTGAAGGGCTGCTGGAAGACACACCGTGAGGCCAACATGAGTTCCTCAGAGACAAGGGCTTCTGTGCCTTGTTTCTGGCCCTGGCCACAGAGTCCTCTCAAAACCAGCTGTGGGCCAGTGATGCAGTGAAGTTGGACAAAGTGGCTCACAGCCAGGGATACTGGCAGGGAACAGCAGGCACAGCAGAGAGCCAAAGGACTGACACCATGGTCAGTCCTAGGATAGGGTCACCCAGGAACTGTTTTCCGTTCTGAATTCCAAAATGCAAGTCACTAGTTGGATGTTCCTCAGACTCCGGGTCCAAAGCAGGGTGAACACTTGGGAGGCAGAACAAGCCATCTGCCTCTCCAAAACCAGACCTTTTAATACTGAAGCTATGTCATGTGGAGCAAGGCTTACAAAGGGGCAGGAGCACATTTCTCAGAGCACACAGAGCATG